AAAAAAAAAAAAAAAAAAAAAAAAAAATCTCCGTGCAGCTGCTGTCTTCTGTTTGAAATTCCTTCAGTGGGGGGCACTGCGGCTCTAAACGGGAGGTCAGAGAAGTGGTAGGAGGCAGATTGGTCTGGGGAGGAGGGAGGACACGGCCATCGATCAGCGGATTCCCTCACCCAAAGCAAAGAGTAAGTCAAAGAGTGGCTTAAGAAAAAAGAAAAAAAAAAAGGGGGGGGTGTCTTGAGCTGTCACCCTGTCTTTCTGAGTGAGCAGTGGCAGTGGTCAGCACCTTCTGAAAATCACTCGTATTGTGATGAGACAAACACCGTTAGCCCAGCAGGGCCCCCGTGGTGGTGGGAAGTGGAATTCTAGCGGGAGAGGCGCTCCGAGGAAGGGACCCCGCTACTTTCCTTCCGGCGGCAACTGTAGAGTTCTCCGCTCTCGGTTCACTTTCCCATCTACTTAAAATGCACCCACACTTCCCCCAGCCCGGCATATTTGAAGGGCCAAAGGCCTTCTCCCCTGCTGGCCTCTATTTGGTGTCACCGCTGCCGGCTCTGAGCCTGCCTGTACCACTCTCGGTGACACGTTTGTTCCTTTCGCACCAGTGTTGATCTGAGCGCATGTCTCCGCGCACCTTTGCTGCTAGGCTGTGGGTTCCATATCTTCCTTTTACTGACGCAGAGCTGGAGTCCTTGTTGAGGGGACGAGATATGAAAGCGTCCTGCCGCATGGAGATTGTCACCTGCTAACGGAAAATGATGAGACCGGGTAAGCCACTGTGGCCGTAGTCAGCTGATGGCTTCACGCCTCAAAACCAAAACGTCCCTTAGCAGAAGCTAAGATTCTGGGGCGCCTGGGTGGCTCAGTTGGTTAAGCAGCCGATTCTGGTTTCGCCTCAGGTGATGAGCTCAGTTTTGTGAGTTCGGGCCCGCGTTGGGCTCTGTGCTGACAGGGCGGAGCCTGCTTTGGATTCTGTGTCTTTCCCTCTCTTTCCCTGCCCCTCCCCTGCTCACGTGCTGTCTCTGTCTCTCTCAAAATAAATAAACCTAAAAAAAAAAACCAACTAAGATTCTACTGGTGCCAGAGGTGTAGCAAGGAGGCTGCGGAGGAGGGGGGGAGGAGGGGGGAGAGATTCAGAGTGATCTCTTGAGATCTGTAGGTTTCCCTGAGGCAGAAGGCATCCGGCCACCTGTTTGGAGTGATTACCTCCTTTTCAGGTCCAAGAACCTGTGAACTTGGGAGGAGGCGCAGAGCAGGTGGAGGCCAATTCACAAAGGCTTGGTTTAAAATTTGGCTATTTTGTTGTTCATAGATCTTTTTGCACTGATTTTGATTTATTTAATTTTTTTAATGTTTATTTTTGAGAGAGAGAGAGAGAGAGACTGAGACTCAGAGGAGAGCACAAGCGGGGGCGGGGCAGAGAGGGAGGGAGACACAGAATCCGAAGGAGGCTCCGGGCTCTGAGCTGTCAGCACAGAGCCCGAACTCATGAACCGTGA